GAGCCCAAGTAGATGCCAGCTCTTCACCATCAGAGCCTGAGGTCGTGATCCTTAAACCTGCCTGCCAATATACTTCGTCCATTGTATGTCACTGATTTTGTGGGTTTAGCGATGCGGCAGTAACTGAATCATCAGCTAGCTGCACGGTGCAAGATTTGATGTATGTATGCAAATGACGCACACTGGTTTTTCATTTGCTCCCTCCCTATGTCCTGTAATAATGATGTGAGACCATGAACACTGAACTTGCATGTTTTTCCCTTGGTTTGTAATATAGCAGGAGAGATGTTGAACATCTAAATTTATTTGTTTCCGATGGGTTGCAATGAACTGTTGTGATATTAGCTGGATTGTTACGGGTTTCACATATTTTCTTCCTTGGCCCAAACCCAAAAACGTTGCTCTGTTTCTGTGGTGTGTTTCTGACGTGTCAGCGTTCCCTCACAAGGTTGACTTATGGGATTTGCATCTCATCCGTAGGTTGGCAATCGGTTATCTTATCAGTACTTCACATTTAGGATGTTGCATTCCTGTACTTCTATTTGCTTGGTGCTCATTCTGTTGTGTGATTGCTACCACTGGTTTGATGACAGAATGGATGCATGCTTTGTTTCTTGCCCCAGTTCTGAATCTCTCTAATTCTTGCCTTCTTGGGTATAAGGGAACATATGCATGTTTTTGGTTTTAATTGTTGAAATGTTAATTGGAGAAAAAATGACAGTACTTCGAAATTTAGTTCAGTTAGATTTCAAAGTTTGGTTATTTAAACAAAATTAGTAGTGTTCATATCCTCATCTTTTTTATATTCCAGAAATCGGAAGTTATGGGGTAATTGTGGTAACTAACTTATTTTTTGTTCAGCAATTCCAGAACGTATATTAGCATTGCTGCACCGTTTATGGCAGATCTCTATATCGACCATCAGCTGCTTGTCGGAACGTCTCAATTATCTAACAAACTGAAAGGTTCTGAAGGAATTTCTTCTCTCCTTCAGAATATTTTTGAGCTATCTACGGCAACACTTTGGTTGTTGCTCAGATGATTCATATATATGGGAAATTATTTTCATAGGTGCCGAACTATATGTTCATCTGTTCTGATTTCAAAGTTTGCTTACATTAGCAATTACTTTAGTACAATTCTTTCCTCTTAAGTTTACGTCTTGTTTAATGCAAAATCTATATAGTTTGATTCAGATGGTATTGGCAATGCTTATTAATTATTTTTACAACTTTTTCCGGATAAACCTATGCTTTAGTTACATCAATATACGATTAAGTATTTCATGCTCACTTTCCTGATTGCATTTCCCTATATATAGTATATGTGATACTGCATGTATAATTAATGGAAAAGTGATTAAGTTTTTTTACGGTATGGCGAGTGATTGTTTGTTATGACGAGCCAAGCATGTCGTCCTTTGGGAGGTTGGTGAAGATTACAGTAATGAGCTATGTATACAATGTACGATTACAACTCATGTCAACTGTTACATCTTTATTTTTGCTGTTTCTTATTACCCTTCTTGACAATACTAATTACCTGTATGAACTAAGTGTCGTGGTTAAAATTTCAAGGAGAGTGGGTATGCACATTACCTCAAACCGTTGGTGCAAGGAAGAAACATAGAAGAATTATGACTATGCATTCTCTCACTACATCATCTCCTTCATTTGCACCAGGAAGAGGATTGCAGCCGATGCCTTCCAAAAAGATTGCAACAGATGCCACCATGGAGATTGGGGTAAAACGGCAAGGTCAATATCTTCCTGGTGTTATACAGAAGAAGCTCTAGGAAGATTGTCACAGACACATAATCTAAGGAACTAATGGACACTTATGTTTATGCAAAATAAAATATGTTCCATGTGTCCATATATTTAATTGTACAAATACACGGGCGCGGCAACGTGCGCCTTCAATGATCTAGTCACATAAGTAAGAGTACCAGGGATACTCCACATTTGGGAGCACTCTTGCTAAAACGCGTTTCAAGTCACTATCATGGAACCCCGCAAAGAGTCACTATCACAGAAATGAATCAAACACACTTTCTTGGCAAGAATCAAGCGAAAAATTAAGATATTTTTGGTACGAATAATGTTAGACGTGGAAAGCTTAATCTACAAATCAAACGTGCCATCTCTTAAGGCCAAACATAATTGAGAAGACGGTATTTCGTTACAAACTTATGCGTGAAGAAAGCGTACGGTCAAGAATACGCCTTCATGCTCCACCGCTTGCTGTCTTCTCTTCCCCCAATCCTCGACATCCCCATGAATAGGTCGCGCGCGGCGGAGCTCGGCGGCGACGGCGATTCGGAGGTGCGGAGCGGCCCCACCGTGCCGGTGGATCCTCGGATTGCGTCCATGGCGCTTCCATCCCGACGGGTGGAGACCTAATCATCCCGTGAGAGTTGTTGGCCCCCTCCTTCCTCGAATGCTTCTTCCTCCTTCTCCGCACAAAGGTAACAACGACAACATTTGATATGTTTCCGAAAGACTAATAAGACCTTGTGTAGTCGTGTTTGCTTTGTTGTTTGTTCACACCTCCGCCACATTCACATCACATGTGAGCTTACCCATCGAGTTTAATTATATCTAGACTAGAAATCATTCATCTTAAGAATGGCCCATCCCCTTGGTTTGGTGAAGCAAACAAAAAATTATTGTATCTTTTTCAGACTTGCATCCAGTCTTGTCTGTATTATTATTTGAACAAACGATGGCAGCCATCTAACCACCGATTGATTCTACGTATTATTAGTAGGACTAGATCAAGTCCTTGTATTTTAAATGTTCCTTGTGACCACACCAGTGACCACAGACCACAACCACCTTCACGCTGCTGTTTGCAGCTCGGCTCATTCAAGTTGATCCCAGATTTTTTTTTTCTTCTAGAAAGAAAGCATCTGATTGGAATCTCCTTGGACGGGCTCTCTAGGGTGAATTTGTTGGAGAGCATCCCCTGTTCAAACCGCCTGAGGATTTTTGATTTTACTTGGATGGGTCAAGCAGCAGTGACAAGATTTTCTGTACGAGTAGTGGAGGCAGAATAGTTACCTTGCCAACTGTTGATTCGAACTGCATGCCTGAGAGTTTTACTGAAAAAGCAGCAGCGACAGGATCATAGGACTAGTGGAAGGCTGGAAGCAGAATAGTTATTTGACCATACTGTTGGTTCAGGTCACACACGTGCATGAAACAGGAGCAGTCCAAACATTGTCATTCATTATGGAACACTTTATTTGTTCATCTCTTCAAACATTTGTTGAAGTTTGCAAATCATAATTATGTTCAGTTGTTTCCCCATTATGCACCTGTTCTGTTCATTCCTTCAAGTTCAGATACTGAGAGGAGATGGGCGGTTCTGAACAAACCGCTATAATGTGTGTCTGCGTGTATGGTGGGCTGGATTTGGTTCCCTAGTCTATGCTTTGCTATAAATGGTTGAGTTGGAAAGTTTTCATGAGCATATAATAGAATTGTAATATTGCTTTGTAATAAAATTAGTGTGAGATTCATCAAGATGGAAACATATTGTGTTTGTCTGCATGTTAACAGTTGTCGTCTGTATATGATTCCAGAAGTATATATTATCTGGTGATTCTGTAGTATATCAGAGCAAGTATATATTATTCACTGATGGCAATTTTTGTGTGTAGCCGAATATGATTCCAGAAGTTTTTGGGTACACAGCAGGTCGCAGCTCTTGAATCTTGATGCTACTTCTGAAGGGACAACCTCGGTCTTGCAAGTTCAGTACTCAGCCTACTCTTTTGAAGATGACATCTCCCCTGCACGGCAAATCTATCCGTCGGTCAGTACTCAGTACACTGGAAGACCATCAAGTTTGACCAAGTCTACTTGTGTTCTTGGGCAAATATATATTTTTCACCGAGATGGTGATTTGTTCGTGTGCTTAAACATGAATTCAGAAGTTTTAGGCACACAACCTCGACCTATTTCACCAAGTGGTAAGTATTGCTTGTCTCGTTGAAAGCACCTGTATGTACACAGAAGGTATATTTTTTTTTTATCTTTGTGTGAGAAATATTTTCGCATGGAAGTGTTCACGTCCAAAACTTAGCATTTTATATGGATTGGAGACGAGGAGCGGCCTGACCGCTCTGGCGGCTGCTCAGATTGCGGCCACAGCGCTTCCACTCCGACGGGCGGTTACCTTATCCCCTGTGAATTGTTGGCTCCTCCCTTCTTCAGATCAAATGCTTCTTCTTCCTCCGCACAAGGTAACAACGGCAGCATTTGATATATTTCTGAAAGACTAACAAGACCTTGTGTAGTCGTGTTTGCTTTGTTCACACGGCCACATTCACATCACATGGTCCCATATGATCTCACCTATCGAGTATAATTATATCTAGACTAGAAATCAATCATTCAGCTTAAGAATGGCACCATCCCTTGGTTTGGGGAAGCAAACAAAAAATATACTCCCTCCGTCCGGAAATACTAGTCATCAAAATGAATAAAAGGAGATGTATCTAGACTTATTTAGTTTTAGATACATCCTTTTTGTCTATTTTGATGACAAGTATTTTCGGACGGAGGGAGTATATCTTTTGTGACTTGCCTCCAGTCTTGCTGTATAGTTACTCGAACAAACGATGGCAACCATCTAACCACCGAACGATTTTGCGTATATATTTCTAGGACTGGATCAACTCCTTGTATTTTAATTATTCCTTGCTGAACACACCTCACAACCACTTTCAGATTGTTGTTTCCCGAATTTGTCTTCTAGAAAGAAAGCATCTTCTTCGAATCATCACAAAGATGGCCCTATAGTTCAAGCGACGCTCCATTATTATTGACCTGCGTCTCCGCACGAATTAACTTCATCTTAGGAGGTACCATCGTCTATAAAAGACTCCATCAAGTCCTCTTCCCAATCACACACATAAACCAACACAGCCTCTAGCATCACTCTATTCCCATCTCACCACACAAACCACCAATTGACCTTGCTGGCCGGAGGAGATGGAGGCGGCTATTGGCGCGGCGAGCGGGCTCATCGGCACTGTGTTGAATCAGCTATCCGATGAGTTCATCCAGGCATATGTTGCCAGCTCTGAGCTCGGTCTCAACGCCAGGAAGATCAAAGATGATCTCCGGTTCACACAAGGGCTGCTGCACGAAGCCCAGAGGAGGGGCGTGAGCGACAACCCTGGTCTGAAGGGGCTAGTGCAGCAGCTCAACACCAAGGCCAACGCCGCTGAGGACGCCCTGGACGAGCTCCACTATTTCATCATCCAGGACCAGATCGATGGCACCAAGTATGCCGAGCCGGATCTGGGTGATGGCCTCCACAGCCATGCTCGCCATGGTTGTCATGCTGTTCTGCACGTTGTCGGTAACTGGCTTAATTGCTTTTCTTGTTTGCCTATGCAAGATGATGGTGCTGAGAGTACTAATGTTATTAGCAAATCATACAACACTATCAATCTTGATAGTAGTAATGATAGTCCACTTGATAAGTTGCAATTCGAGAGAGTTGCTATGTCCAAGAAAATTAAGTCAGTGATAGAGGAAATGCACTCCCTATGTGATCCTGTCTCCCAATTGCTCAATCTAACTCCAGACCAGAGCAACACTACAAGTGTAAACCTCAACCGGCCTATGATGGGTTCAACATCGGTGGAAAATAAATTATATGGAAGGAGCGCCATTTTTGAGCAAACTATAAAAGATATGACCAGTGGCACATATCACAGTGAAACACTTTCCATTCTTCCTATAGTTGGCCCAGGGGGTATTGGAAAGACAACTTTCACTCAACACTTGTATAATGATAGAAGAATTGAAGAGCACTTCACTGTTAGGGTTTGGGTATGTGTGTCCACTGATTTTGATGTGCTTAAGCTCACCCAGCAGATCCATAGCTGCATACCTGTAGCTGAAAAAGAAGAAATCAACATTGTCAGTGGAACAACCAATTTAGACCAGCTTCAGAAATCCATCGCAAATAGATTGAAGTCCAAAAGGTTTTTACTTGTCTTGGATGATGTATGGAAATGTGATAGTGATTATGAGTGGAACAGCCTAGTAGCACCGTTCACAAAGGGAGAAGCCAAAGGCAGCATGGTTCTTGTCACAACTCGATTTCCAAAAATAGAAGAAAGGATCAATAAAGGAATTAGTCCCATAAAACTGCAAGGTTTGGATCCACAAGAGTTCTTTGAGTTCTTCCAAGCATGTGTATTTGGTGAAAACAAACCCAATCAGCAGTACAGTGAATTACTTGATATTGGCAAAGAGATTGCCCAAAAATTGAAGTGTTCGCCACTAGCAGCCAAAACAGTTGCTCGGTTACTGAAGAAACACCTTTCCTGGGAACATTGGAGGGAAGTTCTTGAAAACAATGAGTGGCAAAATCAAACAAACAATGACGATATTATGCCAGCCCTAAAAATTAGCTATGATTACCTTCCTTTCCACCTCAAACAATGTTTTTCATATTTTTCCCTTTTCCCTGAAGATCATAGGTTTAAAGTTATAGACATTAATCACTTTTGGATCGCACTAGGCATCATACACTCTAGTTACGAAAATAAGAATTACTTAGAAGAACTTGTGGACAATGGTTTTCTCGTGATTGAAGTTAATGATTTAGAGGGTCAATGCTATGCAATGCATGATTTATTGCATGAGCTGTCTCGGAGTGTTTCATCCCAAGATTGTACCAATATAAGTAGTTTTAGTTTTAGTGCCAACGAGATCTCACAATCCATCCGACACTTGGCTATTACCATAGATGATCGATATGATGAGAATTTTAAGCAAGAAATGGCCAAATTGAAAAGCAGGATACATATAAGAGATTTGCGGACTTTGATGATTTTTAGAGGATACAATGAATGGATCGATGAGATTCTGAAGGACACATTCAGTGATATAGAGAGTATACGTGTCCTATTTATACCAGTGAACTCTACAGAGTCTTTGCCAAAAAAATTCTCAAAACTTCTGCACCTTCGGTACCTAAAAATTACATCACCTAAGTATTGTGAAGTAAGTTTACCTAGCACGCTACCAATATTTTACCACTTGATATTCTTAGACCTACAAGATTGGAAGGGTAGTTCTGATTTGCCTAAATACTTTAGCCGTCTTGTGAATTTACGCCATTTCATTGCTGGTAGTAAACTCCACTCCAATGTTCCCGAGGTTGGAAAGATAGAGCGACTGGAGGAGCTAAAAGAATTCCATGTTAAGAAAGAGAGTGTTGGGTTTGAGCTGGAAGAGCTGGGGAAATTGAAAGAACTTCGTGGAAGACTCGTGGTCTTTAATCTTGAAAAGGTGGCAACCAAAGGTGAAGCTAACAAAGCCAATCTGGCTTTTAAAACGAATCTGAAAGTATTGGGACTAGTTTGGGGTCCAAAAGATCCAAACTGTGTTACCGAGCCGTTTGCTGATTTAGATGATGATGTTGCTGATGGTCTCCAACCACATGATAATCTCAGAGTACTTGGCATTAGAGGACATGGTGGTGCTAGTCCTCCCAGTTGGTTGTGTTGTGACATGCCCATGAGATATTTGGAGTGGCTAGGTTTTGAAGGTGTGTCTTGGGGCACTCTTCCACCTTTTGGGCAGTTACAATATCTCAAGAGACTGCATTTGAAGAGGATTGCCAAAGTGTGTCTGATCGGACCTGATTCTGGTACAGGTAGAAACCAAAGTTTCATGCACCTGAAGGAAGTTGTCATTTCTGACATGCCACTTCTGGAAAGGTGGATTGTGGAACCTAACTGCCATCTGTTTCCAGTGCTTGAAACAATCAAGTGCAGTGATTGTCCCAATCTCCTTTCACTGCCCTTTTTCCCAGAGTGCTCTGTCCGTTGTACACAAGGCATACACTGTCCCAACCTGCATAGACTAGAGATTACTGAATGCCCTAAGCTGTTCGTGTCCCCCATCCCTCCTGCTCCTGCACTAAAATACATTAAAATTGAAGATACTCATCGGAGTGTGACATTCGATGGAGAGGCACATTGGGATTGGGGTGTGATATTTGGTGGAGATGAGAATGTGTTGAATTTGATTGGCTACATCGGTGCACTAGCCTTCCATAATATGGGAAATGTAGGGAGTCTTATTTGTCGTCATGTGTCAATAACCTCTTTCACAGACCTCCAAAAAGTAACCTTCCCCAGGGAGCTTACTAGTTATGAAGGCTCGGGCATGAAGTCAATCAAGTTCATCAAGTGCGAGAATTTAACAGTGGATGGGTTCGATCCTCTCATCACAGCTGTCAGTGTAAAGGAATTATGGATCATGAATGGTGAGAATTATCCCGGCTCTATAGCCGCGGATCTGCTCTCAGAGGTGGCAAGAAGAACCAAACAATTGCCTGCAGGATCCTTCCAATTGGAGAAACTCGCCGTGAATAGCATCTCAGCGGTGCTTGTTGCTCCTGTCTGCAGTCACCTTGCTGCAACCCTCCACACATTAAGCGCGGCTCTTGATGAGCGGGTGGAAAGCTTCACAGAAGAGGAAGAGCAAGCACTTCAGCTTCTCGCCTCCCTCCAAACCTTAGAATTTTGGAACTGCCAAGGTCTGCCGTGCCTCCCTCAAGGGTTACACACCCTTCCTTCTCTCAGTTCTCTATCAGTCTCACACTGCCCTGAGATCCGGTCGCTGCCTATGGGGGGCCTCCCCACTTCAATTCGTGAGATAAAGGTAGACTCATGCAGCGCCAAGCTACACAAGCTAGTCAGGAAATTAAAGAGAAGAAACCCAGAATTAAAGGTGGATGCCTAGCCCAAGGTAAAGACCTGCCATTCTCATATTTTTTTTCATCATGCAAATACCCTTACTGTTACTTTATAATACCGACTTCTGAAATCTGACAGGCTTTACTAGGCCCCTGCACTATCTATCGACTACCGTCCACAAATCCCCCTGCTGCTCAAGGGCGGCTTCCCCACTTCTCTGCAACGCCTATATGTGACGGAATGCAGCGCGGAGCTAGAAGAGTAAGTCAAGGAAACCAACTTTATGTGACGGAATGTACGGAGGATCAAACCCACTGTTACAGGTTAACACCTAGCCCGCACGGAGTTCTCAAAGTGCAAGTTCATCTATCTGCTGGTTACTACTACATGGGAAACCAACTTGTGCTAGCTCCTTCGTTCATGGTCATGCACTAGTTTACAGTGCAACCTGTTTTCTCCATACAGTTTTGGCAGCTCACTGGTGACTTGGAGTAGTGCTGCGCACAGATTACATGTTTAGTAGCGTGGTACGTATTTAAGACTCTGAAGATGAAGGCCACACACCTCATGGACCTTGCTAAATCAAGGTGAATATCCAGTTTATTTGTTCTCTAATCATAATTTCACTTACTAAAACACGCAATACATTGCAAACTAAGACGTGCAGACATTTTTGAGGAACATCAATCCATAACATGCATGCTGCAGGCTTGTGCATTGGTACTATCATATGTGCACGTATTGTGTTCTTCACCAGACTCCACGCTAAGCTGAGGATTGCGTACTATACATGTGGGTGCGCGCTGTTCTTCATCAGACTCAACGCTACAGCTGGTAAGTATGGTTTTGACACAGTACAATAACACTTGTGCTCCTCCTGCATGTGGAAGTGACTGATATGCGGCATATGCCACATTTTTCAGGATTCCTCCGGTACGTACATCGGTGCATGTTTCAAGAAGAATGCAGATCAAGACAGGCATTGTTGTGGTCGACTGCGTCAGCGTTTTTCTTAAGTTCTGCCAGGCTTTCGGCTCATATACAAGCGACAAGCAACGAGCGTAGTAAGGCGACGGGACGAATCGAGATGCTATCTTACCGTTTTCTTGGGTTGATCTGGCATCTCATATGTAATTTTTTTTTTGTTTTTACCTTTGCTTAAGGCTCAAGTGCGATGAATGTAACCATAGAGTACTTAATCTTAAACTCGTGGCTCGGGACTTGATTATAAAGTCCGAGAGTGGGCGGATGGGTGGCACGAGTATGAAACAATAAAAATACTATGTTCATTCCTGTTTGTGTTCCCTACAAACTTTGTTCCTACCTACAACATTTACTATTCTTTTTGTCAATATTTGCTGCAGTAGCGTTTGCATCTCCGATATCATGTACAAATCGCTTAATCTGTGTCCCAGCCGCGACTACCTTCGGTCCCCTTGGTTTAAACAAGTCCCCGTCCAAAGGCGGCTTCTTGTTGTATCATGGCACTGATCAGGACGAGCTCAAAGGAAGCGCTCACTCAAGCGGCTGAGGCGGAGGATGCTGTCTAATGTCGTCTTCCTTGCATGGAAACGTTAAGGCAACATGTATGTACACTCTGCAATTTTTCTTGTTTTCAGGAACATTCAGAATATGTAGGCGCGGTGTGCACGGTACCGATGAATTACACAACTGGATGCAAGGACTGAGTTTGACTTTCAGCTGGCTCCAGACACAGCGTACACCTGCAAGTGATCAATGTGCCATGATCATTTCAAAAAAAATCATTTTTTTTATCAATGTGCCATGGTTTTTCTTCAGAGAATTCAGAAATGCTGGCTTGTGGTGTATGCACGGTGAATCTCTTGCAGTTGCAGAAGAGCTGTATATACTCCAGCCAATGGTGCAGTTCTTCTTACACACGGTGACTGGCTCCGCCTCAAGACGACCGGGGGAGGCGGTGGCGGTGGTCAGTGCCCCAGCGGGCCGGATTCCCCCACGCCATCTCCATCTCCATCGGCCAGACCTCGGTGGCTCTTGCGCATGTTACATGTAGGGATAATGATGGTAACATTTTCACCGTCAGCACGAATCTTCAGTATCGGTTGGCTGGCTCTAGAGCCATGCTGACGCTGTTCATTTATTCTTCTTGGCCTTATATATGTTCACCGTCCTGTGTTTGGTTCTGTACTGGTAGCTTGCAACACTGCCATTCCTTTCTTTTTAGAAGAGGAACACTAAATCATCCTGCTAGTAGTACTATCTTGTGATGGCAACTCGGTAAATATGAATATACTGAAACCGACAGCGTGCTCCATGAAATCAGAACATTAGAGCATTACTAGTAGAACCCTCAAACCCTCAAACCCTCACTAGCGTTTTAAGGGTCCAAAAATGGTCTTTTTGTGCACTTTTACGGGTTGAAAAACAGGGGCAAAGATTAGAACTCTCAAACCCAACCCTTATAACCGAATATTCCCCATGAACGACGTTATCGTTGCGGGCATACCGTCGAGCACCTAGTGCACGACGGGCGGAGGGCGGCGCGGGGGCGGAGGGCGGAGAGCGGGGCAGGTGCGGGCG